ATTTTTTTATTCCCTCTCACGCATTCACTAACAAAAAATGTAATATTAATGTAAATCAATTTACATGTAATTTTTAAAATTATATCATAAAAAAATTGTAACATTAGTATTATCGGAGAAGAAAATAATCATTTAAATATTTAAGTCTTCACCTATCATTTCACACACAAATTTTCAAGGTATTAAAAATAGTTAATATCAAATAAAATTTTGATTTTAATTATAAAGATTCACCATATGATCGTACTTAATATATTACAATACTATGTAGCAAAAAATAATAAGCTAATTAACTACTCTAAGGTTTTCATGCAACAATATCTAATCAAATTTTGATTTTAATTATAACGATTCACCATATGATCGTACTTAATATATTACAATACTATGTAGCAAAAAATAATAAGCTAATCAACTACTCTAAGGTTTTCATGCAACAATATCTAATCATTTATATGCAACAAATATATGTATAAAGTGTTGAAAACCTAAAACAGTCCTTACTTATAAGACTAGAAAATATAAAGTCTCTTATGAGATTACATATAAATGTTATACATATATACCATCCACATCACTATACAAATGCACTAAAAGCATAAAATTATATCATCGATCAAATGACTCTATTCAACACAATACTATATCAAAACAATATCACCAAAACCTGGTCATCTCCACCATGATCGTCCACCACGCATAGCCTTACAACATAATCTTGTCATGCTCCTATATCAAGTATGATTAATATTGCAGTCCAACAATATGAAAAAGTAAGGATAAATTTGTGAAAGAAAACAACTTAATCAACAAAATAGGGAATAACAACTTCAACCAATACAATCAACTTAGAATAACATAATAAATTTCCATTAAACATAATCACATATTCAACATTAGCAACAACTTATGATTTCAATTTCAACTTTCAACATTGAATACCACTTACAACATGAACAACATTGAGTTATGAATTCATAACTTATACAACATAAAGCAACAACTTATCCTTTGGGCAACATTCTCAACATGTCAATATAGCATGTGAACAACACAAACATATCAACACATCACATGTACAACACATCAACAATATATGCGTCATCACACATTTAACTAATAGATATCTTACAATGTAGGTGAATAGTCTAAGTGGCTTGACCGATCAAACCAACAATTCGATCTTTTTAATCAAGCTAGATTAACATCCAATTTGGACAAAAATCCACATGTTTTTTGGATGTTGTTACTTAAATTAGAAAGTCTAGTATTCTTATTAGAGTGTAGAACAACTTGAGTATAAACCTATCACAACATTAACTAGCATAACTAAGTCACCTATGAGATTAGTCTACCAATTACCCTCCACATACTATGCTCTTCAAGTATACTTAGTTAGGGATTTTTGGTCCCCTGACCTTTTACTTTACTCTAATTTGGTCACTTTATACATGTATGTCTCAATCTTGTCCACGTGCAGATCAATATTGATCGCTTTATAATCAATATGACTCTACATGGTCCCTACACTATGGTCACTTGTAGATCGTATGACTCGACCTTGCTCCCATACCGTGTTAACTAAAGTCCTAGAGGAGACTCTATTATTTATTTCAAGAGTTAACTTCTCAAGAAAAGTTTTCAACAACTAGACTCGTAGAGCACCACAACACAATATTTTCACAATGAAAACTTTTAAAAGCAACATATTCTCTAGTTTTAAGTCAATCAATTCATCACAACTTAACGCCTGAAGCATTTTCAACACAACCACCTCAACATTTCAACATACAACTCAACTTGCAACTTTTCAATAGTTTAATCAACTTAAATTTATAAACAACTTTCAACTTTAACAACTTAAAACATGATACAACTTAAACAAATTACATCAACAAGCAACTCACAACAATAGGCAACTTATAACAATCGATAACTTACAACCTAAACAACTCAATACAACATACAACTTTCAACTTGATCAACTTGAATAATCATCATACATCACCATAGATCAATATATAATGAATTACATTCAATCTTCATCATATCATATAGACCAACTCAATAAGAAAAGTTGAGGAAATTATAAGTTGAAAAGGGAAATAGAAGCTTTAAGCGCCTTAGAGCTCGCTTGGAATGACAAATTTTCATGGAGCACCCAACAACTAGCTCAAAATGACAAAAATTCGCTCGGAACATCCAACAACTAGTTCGAAGCTACTAAAATCCACTCAAAGCACCCAATAACTCGCTTGGAGCGACCAAAATTCACTCTAAGCAACCTAAGTCAAAGACTTCCTCAAAATGGTCACACTTGCTCGCTTTAGGTGAGTCGATTCTCGCTTTGAGCAACACTACCCAAAAACATTCATACACCAAGAATAAGAACAACAACTCAAACATTTAACTTAACAACTCCAAATTTTCTCATCCCACACCAGAACTTCATGCATGCAACTTCAAAATCAACATCTACTATCATCATATATCTTAGAATTTGAAGAAAATGAAACATGTAACAAAACACACTTACAAGATCATCAATTCCCCCATTCCTTACCAAGAACACCAAGAACAAAGGATAACAAAGCTCTATCTTCTATGTCAACTTCAATGCTCACCAAAGCATAAATCCACACAACTAAACATCATACACAACTTAGGAAATTAAACAACATTCAATTCACAAACTTTCCTTACCTTGATTGCTCTAAAAACAAGGAAGAAGGGAAAAAAATTCAGGAACCTCAAACTCTTGTACAAGGACTTCTCTCTGAGATTCTCAGTTCCTCAACTTGAATCTCATCTGCTTCTACCACACCAACTAATGATTAGGGGAAAGAATGGATCTTCCAATAGAATCAAATTGAAAATCGGACTCTGTTGGCCCTAAAGCACATTTATTTAACTATTCTATAAAATTCTAGAGTTATGAACTTATGAATTTCATTAATCAAAATTCACCTTATATACCTCATCCCTCCGTGGGCCAAATCTCACACATTTAAGTTATATCCTCTATAACTTAAGTTTAGAATTATCAATTTTAACTTTCACCACACATAAGTTACAAATAATAAAACAACACAAAATATATATATTACCTAATTACATTTATTACAATAAACATAATTAAGAAAGCATGGTGTTTCTCAATTTGGACAAAGTAGTATTTGTGCCAAATTTCTTAGATAATGTTAAAACGTGGAGAACAAGTGAAAACCAAATGGGCCCCACTTTGCATAATTTGACCCGTTTTGAAATTTTTTTTTGAATCAATCCACCTTGCATAATCAATTTAGTTATTCAGTCTATTTTTACAAAGTGGATGGCCTTGATTTGGTTCGATTTTCTTAATTAAAAATCAATCCATATATAAATATAAAATGAATAACTATACCGTACAGAATCGATCGCCAATTTCAAAAAAATTAACCTATATTTTAAAAGAATTAAACTAATTTATTTTATAAAAAATTAACCTTTATAAAATAGATGGATTCAACTAAATTTAGATTTTTTTTAAAAGTCTAATCCATGAAGACCCTTAAATAGACACTACAACAAAATTTGTTATTAACGACAATTATTTAATGGCAATAATTTAATTGCCACCATATATAAAAATATTAATGGCTAATATATAATAGCCACTAAAAATATATTTATATTACACTAAAGTTTACTATTAGCGACAATTATTTATTAGAAAAAACTTAAGTCTCGCATCGATTAGAGATAAGATAATTAAATAGTATATAAGTGAGTAATAACTATCACCTTACAGGTTCATTTTATAGGGTTGACTCCTAATTTACTATTCTAAATTGGTATCAAATCACCAATTATTACCAAATTCAATAGTGTTATAAAACAATTAGAGAGCAACTTTTACCTTATAAATCTCACATTTCTTAAGAGACAAGACAATTAAAAAAATATAAATAAAAGACAACTCTCATCTTACAAATCCCACATCGAGTAGAGATAAAAAAAAAGTATATAAGTTATGAATTTAGAAAAGGAAATTATAGAAATAAATTATTTAAAGTAAAGGAGACTTTTAAAAAAAATAACTTTTAATAACCTTTAAAATGCCTACTAGAATTGTCACTAAAAAAAATAAGTTTTTTCGATAATTTAGTAGATTTTTACCAGCATTTTATATAAATGTCGGTAATAGTATTAGTGACACTGGATACACCAGCTTTTATTTAAATACTAGTAAAAAAAATTAATGATTATTTATATGGCCATTAAATAATAAATTAATTGCCACAAAAAATTAATTTTTGTGTAGTGAGATATAGACATTCAAATGCCATATGTCACATTTCCATAAACGGAATAAAGCCTAAGTATCAGATTCTAAAATCTTCATAATTACAATATGCCTTTTTCGGCTTAAATTTAAAGGGATGCAACGTTTGGGCGAAATGGCAACTGTTTTTGAATTCCAATTTATGCGGCTGGATTTTGCACAGCTGGGTTTAATTCCTATTGATAAATGCCGACTTGGCATTTCACATGAATATTCCCCAAAACTTCAATTAAAAATCAAGTGTAGCTACTGCCATTTATTGAGAATGGGGCCTCTCCCAAAATTATTCCAAACTTAAATATTTTTTTGTTTCTGCTAGCCCTATCTGAAAACACTCCTCCTGATATAGCCCCTTCAGATAATTAATATAGGGAGGAATTTTGTTCATCTTAATATTAAGGGAAAAAAAAATCTCATTCACCTTTTAAATCACTTTTCTCATGTGTACCCATCTGACGCAATATTTGATCCATTCAGTGTTTTATTTTTGGTGCCAGCTCAGTGCGCTTGGGCCTCCGCCACCACCTTGCACCCCAATTCTGTGTTGCAGTCCCAATAGTGATTTATCATATATATGGTATTGGTCATAAAAAGAGGGTTGAAAAGGAAGGGGAAAAAATCGTAGCGTTTGATCCGGTAAATGGAGGCTGTAGCATTAGTTAGTGGTGTGTCGACCCGAAGTGTTTGTAGCCGTGTGCAATACTCCAAAGGAAAAATATTTTGGGAACCTCCAAATTCATTCCTTATAAATGGAACATTCCAAGTTTACTAGCCCAAGTGCCAAAACCCTCCCCCCTTTATATAAACCCCACTTGCAAAGTGCAACAATTCGCCACGAGCATGCACGCACTCTAATACTTGTAAACTGCAATTCCTTCTCTCTCCCTCTCTCTTGTCTATAGTGAAACGATGCTCAAGATATCCCCAACCTCTAGTTTCTGTGAAAGGAATGAGGGTGACCAAAATAGGCAAGTACAAGTAGAAGAGGAGCCCAACATGTTCACCACTTTGATCCCCGAATCCCCAACATGTGAATCCCATAATAACACCACCCATTTGTCCCTAGCTGTCAACGAAGCCAAATGCATATTCAACATATCCTTCTCCATGGTCCTAACAGGCCTCTTACTCTATTCCCGCTCCATGATCTCCATGCTCTTCCTCGGCCACCTCGGAGACCTCGCTCTCGCAGGTGGCTCCTTAGCCATCGGTTTCGCCAACATCACCGGCTATTCCATTCTCTCTGGCCTCGCCATGGGCATGGAACCCATCTGCGCTCAAGCCTTCGGAGCTAAACGCTTCAAACTCCTCGGTCTCACCATGCAGAGAGCCGTGCTCCTCCTCCTCCTAACTTCACTCCTCATCTCATTCTTCTGGCTCAACATGAACAAAATATTGCTCCTTTGTGGCCAACAACAAGACATAGCCAATGAAGCACAAAGTTACATAATTTACTCTCTCCCTGATCTTATATTACAATCGCTGCTTCACCCTCTTCGAATCTACCTCCGAAGCCAATCCATAACACTCCCTCTCACGTGCTGCGCCGCCTTATCTATCCTCCTCCACGTGCCCATCAATTACCTCCTCGTATCCGTGCTCAACCTCGGAATCAAAGGCATCGCGTTAAGCGCGGTCCTCACAAATTTCAACCTCGTGGCGTCCTTGGTTGTTTATATAATCCTCTCGGGCACGCACAAGAAAACGTGGCCGGGTTTTTCCTCGGGGTGCTTCAAGGGGTGGAGAACGCTCGTGAATCTCGCGGTTCCGAGTTGCGTTTCGGTGTGTCTGGAATGGTGGTGGTACGAGATTATGATATTGCTATGCGGGGTGTTGGTGAATCCCCATGCAAGTGTTGCGTCTATGGGGGTTTTGATTCAAACCACCGCTTTGATATACATTTTCCCGAGTTCGCTGAGTTTTGGAGTGTCAACGCGGGTTGGAAACGAGTTGGGCGCGGGGAATCCACGCGGAGCGAAACTCGCGGCGGTTGTGGGCCTCTGTTTTAGTTTCGTATTGGGGGTCTCTGCTTTGGCGTTCGCGGTTTCCGTGAGGAAGGTTTGGGCCTCCATGTTCACACGGGACGCGGAGATCATTGGTTTGACGTGTGCCGTGTTGCCCATCATTGGGCTTTGCGAGCTCGGGAACTGTCCCCAGACGACGGTTTGCGGCGTCTTGAGGGGAACCGCGAGGCCCAAATTGGGAGCCCACATAAATTTAGGTTGTTTCTATCTGGTGGGTATGCCCGTCGCGGTGTGGTTGGGGTTCTTTGCGGGGTTTGACTTCAAAGGGTTGTGGCTTGGGATGTTGGCGGCGCAAGGGTCTTGTATGATCACAATGATGTTCGTGTTGGCACGTACCAATTGGGATGCTCAAGCACTAAGGGCTAAGGAGCTCACGTTTTCTGAACCTAATGAGGCGAAATTTTGCAACCTCGTGGAAGAGGAAGAGGTTGAGAAATGCTTTTTCGGATCATGTGCCACCCAACAAGCCTCTCATTTCGTTGTTTGATTTTTGTCCCTCCACGCACAAAAAATTTCCCCAAGGATTTTTAGTTTTATTTTTATAGTCAAGATTCAGAAGATTAATTATTCATTCTATACACTTGATTATTTCTTTGTTGAAAAAACTAAATTAAGGAAAGGACAGAACAATGTTCGTTAGAGCTCACAAAGTGAAAACAGTTCTGCTCTGATCAACTGTAAACGCGTATATTCATTCAATGCAGTGGATTCTTTTTTGTCGCCTATGATTAAGCTGATTTTGCATGCATGTACAAGCTACTTTCTGTTCTAATCAGCTCCACATCACGATCTTTGCACGTTTTGTATTCAGGGGACAATAGATATTTTAATATTTTTTATCCAAATACTCGAATAAGACTTTGTTTATAGAGATTTGTCCATTTTTATTCGAAAAAACAACCTATCAGTGTTTATTTAGGTATTTAAAACATTAATATTACTTAAATATTCACATATTTATCATACATTGAAGAGAAACAATAGCAGAAATCATGTTTAACAGTTCAAAATAATTATAATGTAAACAAATATATTAACTACATTATGTTCCATCTTACTAAACAACCATATAAAATGAAACAAAAAATAGTGAATTTTTAACAATTTGATCAGTTTGGCTTCCACATTTGTATGCCTTTGTTATATTTTCTAAGTTAGACTTGCATATCACGTAAGAGGATGACTTAATAAACCAATGACAAGTTAAATTGGGTCATGCTTCTTTTCTTGAAGTATCGAACTTTATAAAAAAAAGAATTACGATCTAGATGTAGTTGATTTACCAAGTTATAAAATTGTCTAATTTGGACAAAATTGTTTATAAAAAAAAATACTCACGGCCTATAATAAAGTATATATATGCGTTCAAGAAAGAAGTTAATGGTGACTACATAAATATAATAAATAATTAAAAATATAGATTTTGAATTGGTCTGAGAACTTCACTGCCTTCTCCTTTTTTAGATGTATCTAGTGGCTGATGGGGGATATATAAAGACAATCCGATATTCTAGTCACAATCACAATAATTGACATTGCTGAAATGTGTGTGTACTTCATATGATAACATTCTCAAGTGGGCGCCTTAAAAGGAATATGTAGGCCCAAAGCGTTTTCTGAAAATATTCTCGTTTCGAGATCATTCTATTGTGTGGTTTCTCCTAATTGAGGTGTGATCACCCACTTCAGGTGTAGCCAATTCACCTTGCAATCAGTTCCTTTATTGTGAATTTTGGCTCGTTTACTCCACTTAAGCCTTCGGACATGAATCATATTCATGGTTGAAATGGTCTCAACAATTTTCTAGATCGGGGATATTTAACGCACTCTAGAACATATTTAGCTAAAATAATCTTAACTAAAATGATTTCATCCCATTCTCTTTTGTATTTAAGTGTGTACGTGTTTATAAAAATATTTAATAAATAAAAAAAATATTTATTGAAAATAAGATTTATTAAGTTTAACTTATTGAACTTTAGTAGTTTATGAATTAAAATTAAGTAGATTTTTTGTTTCTTGTCAAACACATCTAAACTTATTTTTGCCCCCAGCCATTTATGTTTAGCATGAATTAATGATTCTAATGTTACTAAAAATAGTTATTCTTGATAATAAGATAGAAACTAGCAAGTGTCATATGCATCGCATGGGTACTTTTTAATTTAAGTAAATTTAAAAAATAAAAATGAAATTATAAATAAAGATACACACATATCTATAGTCTAATAATTGAATCTTTAATCACATACCTATAATTACGCCATGCATATTGGTAGAGTAAATCGTATAGGAACTCAATAAGCATTATTTTTTACATATTTTTCAAAATTATAGAAAGTATTTTTATATTTTTTGAAAACTATGTGAATCTTTTTGCAATTTTTTAAACTATAAAGCTCCTCCTTTTATTTCTCTTAAAAAATTATATGAGTAAGCTGACCTACTTTAGAAAATTCATACATGCAATTTTTTGTGCAATAACCAAATGATTTTAATTTTGCTTCATTGTGCTATATTCTAGCATGCATGTCAATTCTTAATAGAATATGATTTTTCAAATAATCATTCTAAGTCAAAAGTTTTATTAAAAAATCCACATCATTTAATAATAAAAAAATATTCTTTAGTAATAGTAAGTCATATATATACAACCCAATAAAAGCAAAGCGAGAATAAAATAACCATTTACACTCTCTAAACGGGTTGAGGTCAAGTGTCGGGTTATTGGCAACAATACTTGACCAGCCACACTTTGATCAGTATTCTTATGTCGATTGTTTTCTTTGTTTTATGTTAAATAAAATCTCGTATTAAAAAGTCTCAAGTTTTACTTTGAAGAAAAGAAAATTACGTGCTTAGAATATTTGGTGTATTAATCAGCTAAACTATCGTAGTCTAACGCGTATTAATTGCATGTGAATTATCTGCAAGTAGGTTTCACATCGAGAGAAAGCATAAACTCAACATGCATGCATGGAATATTAGATATATATAATCTCTTAATTAGAATCTTGACCCATAGTTAAATCCAATTTCCCGTCTCTCTTGATTTTACACTTCAACTTAAATTTGTATTCTTAAGACAAACGAATTGTAATTACTACTTAGCATCTGGTCGATGAGAAAACACGTTGCACATATCCATATAGTGCATGTACAACTCTAACACTAGCTAGGATTTTAATTGATATGCATAAGACCATACGTTGACCGTGCAGGTTAGGATTGAAGCTTGTCATAAAATACACGTGCAATATAACATTGCAAGAAAATAATCAAATAGGCTAGAACATTGAGAAAATTATTCAAAGAAAGTGACAAGCAGAGGCACACACCAAACTGATAGGGATTTTGGATATTGGAGGTGATGAAAGGCTGTGGAAATTTGAAAACGCAAAACATGTATCTGTGGTATATCCGTGTGTGTATATGTATATATTATAATATTCCTATTATGAATAACTAACGTATGGGAGTCCCGTGAAAGTGTGACGTACATGATAGTTCATCACCAAACTATCATACGTACCTCAACTACTAACTTCAATTTTTCGCCACTCTTCCCCCATAACCTTTTCTATTTCTATACGCTACCATACTTGATGCTTTTACGTTTTCCATTGCGCAAGTCCCTCCTGAAAATTGTTTCAAAATCAAATATTTTATGAGCTATACGTACTCTTATAGTAAGTCAGATTCGTCCAAATTCGATGAATGGAGTGAGTAGGGATGATAATTGAATGAGAATAATATGAAGTTCACTATCTTTGTTTCCGTATTTATTTTTGTACTCTATAATCATCTTCATTCTTATATTTGATGAGTATGAAATTTGTGTTCTCATCCTTATATATTCTTATCAGGTATTATGTATAGTAGTACACATTTCGTACTAGTCCAAAAATTAATTAATATTTTAAAAAAATAAAAAAAAAACAAGAATTTTAACAGAATTATAATTACAAAATTACATTAATTAAGTATTATTCGACATACATTTTTTTTGTAGTAATAGGAAAGATTACAAAAGATGATCGCAATCAGGATTAAATCAACATACATTTAAAATAGAGTAAGAATTTTATCAAGTAATTTTTTAAAAAAATAAATTAAGTTTCTAAAAATTTAAAGCAAGTATAAGTAAGTGACGAATTTGTATACATATCCCTGTCCCCGTACCTAATTTAATAAATTGGACATTACCCGTAACGACCCATATCTAATCAAATCGGATATTTCTCATCAAAGTTGAAGTGGGTTTAAATATTACCCACAGCTACAAGTTTACTTATCATCCCTAAAAATAAGGCTTCATGTAGCATAGGGAGCCATGCACGTCCGTACCTAAGGGACCTAGATAAATGCATGAATTTAAAACATGAAAAAAAAACATATTATTATATATGCAATATTAATTTTATGGTTGTTTTTCATTAAAAAAACTAATTTTTAAATTTTTTTAGGTATTTTGACCCATAAAACAAAAAATAAACTAATTAATGATTTAGACTAGGGATCATTTTTAAGATCGGGCACACCCCCAGATTTTGATTAACTCAAAATTGGATTGGGGGTTTCATAAAGGATTTTGATATAACCCAAGACTAAATTCTTGACTAAAGGGAAGGAATTGGGTATGGCCTTGGACCTTGGCTTACCAATCAAAGAGTGACCAAACCTACAATCTCGAATAATCGAGAATGAGGTGAGGGAATGAAGAATGAGGACCAAAATTTCCAACCTTAGAAGGAAAGGAATTGGCAAAAATAGTTAACTTTAGTCTTTAACTCACATTAGTAGGTAAGTTACTAGCTTTTTGTTGTTATTTTATAATGGAAAATAAGGTTGGGAATCATTAAGAAAAACAAGTGACAAGTGGTTAAGATTCAAGATAGAAGAAATTTTGGCTAAGTTTCCACGTTTAGTTTTAACTTGACAAAGAGATATTTGAGCAAATTCAAGTTTCATATTGAGCATGAAAACTGACACTTAATGTGGGAGCTCACACTTAACATCATATGTGTTGACATATCATTATTGAGATGAGACAAAAGGTTTTATGACCTAAGTGTCGGATATTCAAGGATAATCATTAGAGAACCTTTCTTGGAGAGTGTGTGATAGTTGGAGAGTTCTTTAACCTTCAAGATCAAGCTTCCTCTTTTCTTCATCATTTGTAGTATTCTACATGTCTATGTATAGGTAAACTCTCTCCTATTGGGGTTCACTATAACTTAACACATTCTCATGTATACTTTTTAAGTTATTAATCTCAGTTGTTATTCAGTTTTATTGCTCTATCTTCTTTACTTAATGCTCGTTAGGGTTTGATCTTTCTTAACTTGAACCTTGGGTTTTAAAGTAATTGGAAAATACTTGTGAACCTTTAAACTGAAGTAGAGCAACTGATAGTGCTTTCGCTAGGAATATTAGAGTAAATGTCATTAGTCTTTCTTAAACTCTTGTTCTTAAAGTTAGTTTTTCAGTTAAGTTATTCAAGGAATTGAACAATTTATCAAGAAGCTTAAATTCCAACTTTTAAGGAATTTAGAGTTGGTTATACTTGTGAGTGATTGA